TAACTGTACACAGAGGTTTAAATGACCTGTGAGAGCTGGGAGAAGAGTTGGGATCACTTTGTTCTCTGGCTCTTCTTGGCTGCCGGTACAATAGTGCAGAGGCATAGTGGGGGATGTTTGGCTCGAAGGGAATACAGGGCAAGGAGAATCCCAGGTGTGGGTGCTGCTTGCTGCAGTTCAGTGCTGCTCAGAGAGGTGGGCTGGGGTCAGTGTTCACCTGGCCAGGCAGGGAGAAGAGCCCTGCTCATTCCACTGCCCTTCCTCTTCCAGCGTGCCCGACAGATGGATGAGGAGCTGAGCCGCCGAGGGAGCCCCATTCCTAAAAAGGTACAATGGTTTTCCCCACAAGAGATTTTATTTTTGGGAAGCCTGGCCTTCATTCCTGGCCATTCCCACAGTGTGAGTGCAGGGAGGTGCACAGGCAGCTTTTTTGAGGCATTGGAGGTGCTCAGTCTGGGGCCAGGCAGTGTTTATGCCTGTGACAAAAGAAGCAGCTTCCCTGGGAGAGGGAGGGTTGCTGAGAGGGTTCCCTCAGGCAGCACAGCTGGGTCACAGAAGGGCTTTTTCCATGCAGAGGAAGGGGCGGCCTCCAGGACAGAGCCTGTCAAATGACCGTGGAGTCTCAGGCATGGCAGCGTGAGTACAAACCCTGAGCCAGAGCCCCTGTTTGGGGAGGGCAGGGGGAATGAGGCTGCCTGTGGGGAGCACAGGACTCATTCTTACTGTGTTTTCCTTCCCCTCAGGTGGAAGCTCAAAGTCTCTGAGCCTGTGAAAAGGGATGGACCAAAGGTATTGGCTGTCCAACACTGCTGGGCTCCCTCTCTCCTCCCCTTTGCTCCCGCTGGCAGAGCCCTGCAGCTGCAGGAGCACAGGACAGCGGGGCTGTGCTGTGCCCTCACGGGGCCCTGGGCAGGGCTGGAGCAAGAAGAGGAAGCGAAGTGCCCGGAGGCCTTTGCTGGTCTCCCCAGGCACTGTAGCCTGTATCCCTGTGGTGTGGTGCCGCTGGGGCAGCCCTGAGGAGACCAGGAGTAGCCAGGAGAATCCTACAAGTGTTTCCCACGAGGGAAACTGCTTAGATCAGCCCAGATGGAATGTAACATCCCTCCCCTGCGGAAGGCTGGAGGTCATTGGCCAGCTCCCTCCCTCCCAGTCTGGAGGCAGCTCCAAGGTTCCCTGTCAGAGAGCCGAGGCTTGTGGAGCATGGCCAGCAGCAACTTCATTTCTAATGTTGCCCCTTTTCCAATTGCTCTGTAGTGGGATCCATCCCGACTGACTGAAACCACAACCTTTGTGCTGGGATCTCGAGCAAACAAGTAAGGAACGGCCCTGTCGATGGAGGGTGGTGTCCCCAGGCAGGAGCCCGTGACACTCCTCCCGTCACTTCGCTTCTCTGCCTCAGTAGGAAGGCCTTGGGGAGGAGAAGGGTGTCCCTGTGCCACCGCAGCTGCCCTCCCCACAACCCTAACACCCCTCGTGTTCCCATTGCAGAGCTCTCGGGATGGGAGGAACAAGAGGGCGACTCTACATCAAGCATCCCCACCTCTTTAAGGTCAGGTGCCACAGCCAGATGGTTTCCCATGGGAATTAGGAGTGTGTGCTTCAGCTCCCTTGCTTACCTCCTCCCCCGTGCCCTTGCTTGTCTTAGAGCACGTTCCCAAGGTTTGGCCTGCACACAACACTTGCCAGTGGTGTCGTGTGCCTGCCAAGGCAGCGGGATTGCCAGAGCCAGGGCTGAGGCTGGAGGAGGGCAGGCAGAGCGGGGGGCAGAGCAGACTGGGGGGGCAGAGCAGAGCGGGGCAGTGTCCTGCAGGAGGGAGCTTTCAGGGGAGGGTCTGTCACTCGTTCTCAGCTCGGTCCTTGGTGCTTTATTGCAGTACGCAGCCGACCCGCAGGATAAGCACTGGCTGACAGAGCAGCAGCACATGAGGGCCATTGGGGGCAAGATGGTGAGTACAGCCGGGCGCAGGGCCCGCCGCAGGGGTGGGGACACTGCGCTGCCAAGGTCTGTCCCCTGCCCACAGCACTGGGGCATGGCCAGGAGGCACAGCTGGCTCCCACAGGGACAGCGGTGGCTGGGGGAATGGCCCTGCCCTGGCTGCCCCTTGCAGGCACCCTGAGGTGTTCCCTGCCTTGTGCCACAGGCCTACCTCCTCATTGAAGAGGACATTCGGGATTTGGCCGCCAGTGAGGATTACAGGTGAGGGGCAAAGCAGAAACTCTGAAAGTGCTGCTGGGCCTGGGGCTGCTTCCCAGGGGGCGCAACCAAGTCCCTCCTCACTGCTACGTTGCAGGAGTATCCTGTGCTGGAGGGACTCTCTGTGTGATGGCTGGGGGGCTTGGTTATGGTTGGGGTTTGGTGCCCAGGGGGCCATGTTGGTGACAAAGGTGTGGACTTGGTGTTGGTTGGGGCTCCATGGTAGGTTTGGGCTCAGTGCTGATTGAGATCCATGGTGGGTTTGATGGGTCTGGGCTTGGTAATGATGTGTGCCAGGGGACGTGGTGGGTTTGGGGTCAGCAGTGGGTGCTGGAGTCCCTCCATCTCCCCCTCCTTCCTCCCCAGGGACTCTGTTGATCTGCGGCTGGAAGAGCTGAAGCCTTTCATCCCACCAGCCTGGATGACTGAGAAGATGCAGAAGCACATGGAGACGCTTCGCCGCGGGGGGGAGGTGCCGCCCCCCGAGGACCCCTCCGAACCCTGATGCCCCCCAATAAAGCCGCTTCGTTCCCACCTCGCCGCTTCCTGAGGCCGCGCACCGGGCACCGGGCTCTTCCCGGGGAGGGGCCTGCGGGATGCGCGGTCCCGCCCCCGCAGGGCAGCGACCAATCACAGCGCGGTGCGTCACTGGCCGGCTGTCAATCAGCAGCCGCTGGCCGTTACCGTGGGAACTGCATCCTCGGCGGGCGGTGATTGGTTGGCTCGAACGGAGCTGCGCGCTGATTGGTGGAGGGGCCGCACGCGGAAATATTCAAACGGGGCGCGGGAGCGGGCGGGGCCGCGCGGGACGAGCGTACCGGAGTGTCTGGGACCGGGGCTGCGACCGAGCCGCCTCTGCACCGGAGAGGGGTTGGGATCCAGCCGCTCCTGCACCGACAAAGGGGTCGGGACCAAGCCGCTCCTGAATCGAAGAGCGTCTGGAACGGGGGTTGGGATCGGGCCGCCGCCGCCGCACGGGAGAGCCCGAAGCACCGCCGTTCGGCACGGGGCAGCCCCGCTAGGGGAGCCCTGAGCGCCGCTCGGCACCGACAGAGCCGCAGAGGGCCCGGGTCCTGCCCCGAGCGGGACTGCGGGAGGGAGAGAAGGAGCCAGCGGAGCCCGGTGCGGCGCCGCCAGGGAGCGGGAGCCGCGTCCAGCCCGTGACCCGCCGGCAGCGGCGGCTGGTGCCGGTGTGCTGGTCCGTGCCCCGGGAGCGCTATGGCCTCACAGAACGCCGACCCCGCCGCCGTGTCCAGCGCAGCCGCCCGCAAAGCGGCTGAGACCGGGGCCACGGCGGCCCGCGGCGCGGTGGGCAAGAGGTGAGCGCGGCCGGGAGCGGGGCTGAGGGCGGGGGCTGCCCCGGTGAGCCGGCCGGTAACGTGCGCTTTCCCCGCAGGCTGCAGCAAGAACTGATGGCGTTGATGGTGAGTGGGGCCCCGGGGCCGAGTCGTGGTTTGGGGATCCTGGGACCAAGGCGGGGGTTGGGGGTCCCCAAAGGCACCTGGGGCTGAACCGGGGTGGGGTGGGGGCATGTCCGGGGCCGCCCTAACGCGCTGCCCCCGCAGATGTCCGGTGACAAAGGCATCTCTGCCTTCCCCGAGTCTGACAACCTCTTCAAGTGGATCGGGACCATTGACGGCGCTGCCGGGACGGTGAGAGGCGAGATCCCGCTCTGGGAGTGCCTGACCCTGCCCCACCCTCTTCCCTTCAGCTGAGGGTGGTCCCAGCCCTCCACTGCCCCTGTTCCTCTTTTTCCCCGCGGCTTCCCCACACCTCTGGGGCTACAGCCCCCCTGACTCCTGTCCCACCCCCAAGGCCTACGAGGAGCTGCGGTACAAGCTGTCACTGGAGTTCCCCAGCGGGTACCCCTACACAGCACCCACCGTGCGGTTCCTGACCCCCTGCTACCACCCCAACGTCGACACCCAGGGCAACATCTGCCTCGACATCCTCAAGGAGAAGTGGTCAGCGCTGTATGATGTCCGCACCATCCTGCTCTCCATACAGAGCCTGCTGGCAGGTGGGTCTCCTGGACAAGCTGCTGTGGAGTGCTGGGGGAAGGGATGGTGATGGTGGTGGGGCTGTCCAGCCCAGATCAGGGCTCAGAGGTGTCCAGGTCACCTCCCACCAGCTGACCCAGCCACTGTTTCCAGAGCCAAACATCGAGAGCCCTCTGAACACACATGCAGCCGAGCTCTGGAAGAACCAAGTTGGTGAGTGCCTAAAGCAGAACCCTCCTGCCCCCTCCCCAGTGGGATGGGCAGCAGCACAGCCCCCAGTGCCTGTCTGGCCCCACAGCTGCCCTGGCCACTGCCTCAGGTGGTGTCATGTTCCCCCTCTCTCCTCAGCCTACAAGAAGTATGTGCGGGAGACATACAACAAGCAGACCAAGAGCCAGGAGACCTGACCATCAGCACGGCCCCTCAGCACATCCCCTACCTCCCTCCCTCCCTCCCGGCCGTCCTTCACCTTCTGTATCATAGGCTGTTTTTAAATTAATGTCGCAGTCCGAGCCACGGTTAATGTATAAATAAATGCAGGTTTATAACTTCTGCAGGGCATTCTCTGGCAGCTCTAGCATACCCTGAGTGCCCAGAGGCCCCTCTGCAAGTGTGGGCAGGAAGGGTGGAAAGGATACTGACCCCTGTGGGGTAACAGGAGTTTATCAATCTTTGGGTGCCTGGAGTGATCCCATTTTGTCTACAGGGTGGGAGCAGCCCCCACCATCACCTGCAAAGGCAGGGTTGAGGATTGTAGGGGTACCTCTGTCCCCTGCTCTGTGCCAGGGGTGCCACCTCTGCTGCTATCTCCTGCCCCCTAGCTCACAGCACCCCACAGCAGTGCCCAGCACAGGCGCCTCCCCAGGCCGCTCTCTCTGTGGCGCCGCTTGTCTCTGCCGGCTGTGTGGTCTCTCTGGCTTCCACTGTCCATGGTGGAATGTTGGCTCCGCTCTCCATCTCTGCCAGCGTGGCCCTCACCTGCTCGATCTCCTCCTCCAAGCTCCGGGTGGTGGGGGGCTGCATGGGACCCCCTCCTCTCCGGCTGGGCAGCCCCCAGCCCCCCAGCCCAGTGCGCAGCGGGGCAACACCACCCCCTTGCAGGGAGAAGAGCTGGCAGAGGTGCTGGGCTCTGTACAGGTCCTGCAGGAAGAGCTCCAGGGCGGAGAGGAAGAGCACCCAGAGCCGCTCCAGCTCCTGCCGCTCCCGAGGGCTGGCCGGGCCCTGCCGCAGCCCCGCCAGCAGCGTCCACCGCAGCCCTGTGGGACGGCGTGTGAGCTGGGGCCAAGCAGCGAGGCTGCAGAGGCTCCCCGTGGCTGCTGCCCGGTACAGCAGTGCCCTCCTTACCCATGCTGAGCTCACAGGCCTCTGCGCTCCTCCTGCCTCGCTCCTCTCGCAGTCGGGGCCCGTCACCGCTCCCCCCGAGCTGCAGCACCAGCTGCCGGTGTCCGGCCGTGGCCTTGCAGAGGGCAGCCTGGGCTGTGGCACACGTTCCCACTGCCCCCCGCCCACGGCACGCATCCCTTCTGCCTGGTGCCATTACAGCCCGTGACAACGGGGCAGGGGCAGGATGGCCACGGTGGCTGCTGGCTCTCCGGGGGCTCGGCTGCTCTGTGCCGCTGTGCTGTGACCAGCTCTGAGCTGTGTTTTGGTTCGGTGGTCCCACCCACCCTGGCTGGGGACTGCGCCCCGCCTCATCCCCCTGCTGTGCTCCACCCCTGCTGATCCCCAGGGAGCTGTGATTTCCAGCAGAGAGACACAGCGGCAAGTGTCACCTTTCCCCTGTAGGGAAGGGGCTCCTGCCCTTCCACCTTACAGCCAGGTATTCTGGGTGGGAGATATAGGGCAGGCAGTGGTGGCTCTCTAGAACCCCTGTGGTCCCACAGCCCTGCCCTGGAGCAGGACCCTCGGGGCCAGGCTCCCTCAGCCTCTGGCGTGTGAACGAGCTGCTCTGCACGGAAACTCTGAGCTCAGCACTGGCGCCTGCCCAAGAGGCCGTGGGAACCACAACTCTGGGCTGCCCCTGCAGCACTGCCCTGTGGTGTGAGCCCGCCCATGTTCCCTCCCTGGGGAGCAGAGCAGGGACACACTGCCACAGCCCCCCTCCCCATGCACCCCCCAGTGAAATCCTGCACCAGCAGCTCAAGCCTTTCCTCTTTAATTGAGGCTCGAATCAAAGCCACAGGTGACAGATGGGAGGAAAAGCTCAGCCGCCGGTGGTGAGGTGAGACCAGGACCCTGGCACAGAGCGAGGTCCCAGCCAGTGCTGAGGGCCAGATGCTGTGGAGCTGCTGCTCCCTGGACAGCAGGGGAGCAGGGCTGGTTGCAGCAGCTGGCCTGAGGAATGTCTGGTCCTTTACTGCACACCCTCCATCATCTTCAGGAACTCTGCAAGAGAGCAGCAGCCTCAGCCCACAGCCTTGCCTGGGTGCACAACATGGGTGCTTGTCTGGGGCCATTGCTCACCATCAAAGTCGATGCGGCCATCGTTGTTCTTGTCTGAGTCCTTCATCATGTCCTCTATGTCCTCATCAGTGACAGGCTCCCCAGTGGCCCTCAGGATCTCACCCAGCTCCTCAATGTCAATGAACCCATCTGCATTCCTGCAGGAGGGTGAGGGAGGGATGGGACCTTGCTTGCTCCCACAGACAGGATGGGCCACTTCGCCCCCACACTCACCGGTCGAAGATGCGGAAGCAGTTGGCCAGCTCCTCCTCAGACTTGCCTTTGGCATCCTCTTTCATCTGGCGCACCATCATGACCAGGAACTCCTCGAAGTCGATGGTGCCGCTGCCTGTGGAGAGGAAGCCAAACGTGGGTCAGGCTGCCTGCCCAGGGTCCAGCACCCACCCCTGCCAACAACCAAGGGCTGCTCACCGTCCTCGTCCACCTCCTCAATGATGGCATCCAACTCCTCTTTGGTGGGGTTCTGGCCCAGCATTCTCATCACCGTCCCCAGCTCCTTGGTGCTGATGTCTCCACCACCATCAGCATCAAACATGTCGAAGGCGGCTTTGAACTCTGTGGAGAGACAGGTCAGGTCTCTGGGCAGTGAGGCAGAGCCAGGCCCTGCACCATGGCCACACCTGGCCCCTGTCCCTGCTGTCCCCACACTCACCCGCAATCATCTCCTCGCTGAGGAAGGCACGGGCTTCTGCCTGCTGGTCCGTCTGCAAGGCAAGGGAGAGAGGGGTCACCCATATCAGGCCAGAGACTCCTTACACAGCATGGCCCAACAGTGCTTGGCTGTGGGAAGAGCCTCTGCCCTGCTGCAGGACGATTCTGTGCTGGCATAAGCCACAGACAGCAGCAATCTCTACAGTTCCAATGCCTTCCAGGCCATCCATGAAGGGCTGCAGGGAGCTGCCTGCCCAAGTCCCCCATTATCTGGGGGGCTCCATTGTGTGGGGGTCATGGTCCCTGTATACAGCCTTGGCATCCTGGGCATGCAGTGCTATTTTTGGGAACTCCTCAGCTCCCCTTGTAGGGATCGTTGGAGCTACAGCCGTGGCACCTGTCAGCCCCGATCGAGTTTCTCCTGGAGGCGCAGGCCGGCCATGGAGCCAGCAGCAAGGCCGTGTCGCATGACCCAGCACTCGGCTTTCAGCCACCCCCTGCTGCCCCTGCCTCTGTGCAGCCCTGAGCTCCCAACAGGGCTGAGATGGTGTCCCCAGGCACCTGCACCCCCTCAGCAGCCGCACATTCACCCTCAGATCTGTCCTGCGGGGACCCTGCACCACCCCAACACCTCCCTGCCCTCACCACCATGGTCAGCCCAGCACTGGGGACCATATCCCTGCTGCCCTCTGCTGCAGAGGCACAGCCCAGCCCCCCCGGTGCCTCCTGCCCAGTCAGGTCTCCTCCTGGCACACAGCACACAGGAACACTCACCATCTTGGGAATTTATGGAGCTTCCCACCCCCAGAGAATCACCAGCTCCTGCAGCAGGAACTCCCAGAAGCTTCGTGGTGCCCCTGGCACCCCAATTTGTAGTGTCTCCTCTGTGGGATGTGCCTCCAGCTACTGCCCCCTGGCCCCCTCAGCCTATCAGCGCTCTGGCAGCACCCAGCCCCTCTCGCTCGCAACTGGCGCCTTTACCTAATTTAGCCAAAGCTTTATTGGTCAAGGGCTGGGATTAACATGGGGATGAGGCTGGGATGGAAATTCAAGCCCTTCAGGAGGGAGATCAAAACTGTGGCAGGAGCGCAGCTCTGCCCACCCCCAACACCCCCATCCAAGGCAATTCAGCAATGAGGGGGTTAAAAATAGCTCTGGAGCCATCAGCATCACCCGGGTAAGGGGGACAGGGTCCTCCCTGTTCAAGGGGCATGGACTATCACCCACTGGCCCCTGAAAATGCAGCCCTTCCTGGCTTACAAGCTCTGAATACCAAGCTGGTTTTCCACAACACAGTGTCCCCCCCGAACCCCCATTTTCTGCTGCAGGAGGCCAAGGCAGAGCAGTGCTGCAGCCCCCCACCCCAGATAAGGAAGGAGTGCCCTGTGGGGGCTGGGGCATGAAGTCCCTGGAGAGATTTGGAGCATGAGCCCCATGGTTTGGGGTCCCCAGTGCTGTTGGCACCTGTTCCGGAAATGGCTCCATTTTTTCGTGCTTCTGAGGAGTGGGAATTATGCCCGGTGCCTCCTCGAAGGCTCACTCCTCATGGCCTGTGCCAGCCACTGCTGCCAGGACCGGCTGGGGCCCGTGGCTCTGGGGACACACTGGCCTAGTGGCCCATGCCCTGTGGTGCTTGGAGCCTCAGGGCTGCGGTGGGGACAGGGTGACAAATCTCTGTCCCATAAGGTCCCAGTGCCAGGGATGCCCAGGGGTTTTCTGGCTGCTGCTTTTGCTTGGACCCTCATTCACCAGGTGGGAACTGGGTACAAGTCCAGCCCCTAGTGCATCCCACCCTGTCCAGGGAAGCTCAGGGGTCCCATCTGAGCTCGGGTGGGGTGCAGGGTGCTGGAACAGGGCACAGTGAGCAAGCGATGGACAGAGCGATAGCAGCAGCTGGGCTGGTTCCTCGATATTTATAGACATTCCCAAGGAAGCAGTGAGGAGTGAGCAGACAGACACTAAAAAAGGCTGGGCGAGTGCCGGAGGTGCAGCCTGGCCATGGGGCGCGTGGTGAGGCCGACTGAGGCCAGGGTGGCAGGGTGCCAAGGTGGCCCGGGGCACATCCCAGTGGGATCAGGAGCCTGAGTCTGGGGTAGCAGGATACAGGGGTGTTGGGGAATCTGGCTGTCACGGCACAGCGGTGCCAGGGTATTGGGGTATCAAGACCGTGGGACAGCACAGCGCCGAGCATCGGAGTGTGTGGCTCCTGTGGCCCCAGGGCAGGGATCCGGGGCTCGGCCTGACCACGACATCCCGGACAGGGGACAGAGGAGCCGAGACCGGGACGGGCGAGGTCGGTTCCTAGGCAGGGGCTGCGGGCACAGCCAGGCTGAGCCCTGACCCTGATCCGAGAGTCCCGGGCGGTGCTGCACGGACCGATCACGATCTCAGCCGTACCGGGCAGTGCCGGGAGAGCCGACCCCGATGGCGCCGGACGGCGCCGCAAGCGCTGCTCCCGATCCCGGCCGTGCCGGGCGGTGCCGGCTCCGCCGCCCCGATCCGGGTTCCCGGCGGAGGCGGAGCCGCGCAGGGAGGATCCCGGGACGAGCCGTGGCGGAGCGGCCATCGCTCGGCACCACCCGGCTCGGCTCGGCCCGGCCCGGCCCGGGGTAGCGCGAACGGAGCGGGGCGGGGGCAGCACCGGGAGGGTGTCCCGGGGCCGGGCTGTCCCCGCGGGGGGCCGTGCCGCGGTGGGCAGCCCCCGGCCCCGCCGTGTCGCGGTGCCGGCCCGGACCCCCCGGCAGCGATGGCCGCCCGCATCCTGCACCGGCTGCGGCACGCGCTGGCGGGCGAGGCCGGCCGCGAGGAGCCGGCGGGCGGCGGCGGCGAGGCCGAGGACTGCCCGGAGAGCTCGGAGCTGGAGGACGACACCGAGGGGCTGTCGACGCGCCTCAGCGGCACCCTGAGCTTCACCAGCCACGAGGACGAGGAGGAGGAGGAGGAGGAGGAGGGGGACGGAGCTAGCGAGGAGCTGGAGGAGCCGCCGCAGGCGCCGGGGGCGGCAGCGGGCACGGAGGACGGAGGCAGGTGCTGGGGCGGCGAGCTGGGGGGACTGGGGTGACTCCAGGGACACTCATGCGATGGTGGCGTCCGGCAGCCCGACAGATGTCAGAGCCCTGTCCCCACGGAGGGCACTGACACCCCTCTCCCGGCACAGAGTGGGTCTCTGCGGCGGAGCGTCCCGGCGGCAGCCTGCTGACCCGGCAGCTGCAGGAGCTGTGGCGGAGGTCGCGGGGCAGCCTGGCACCGCAGCGGCTGCTCTTCGAGGTCACCAGCGCTAGCGTGGTCAGCGAGCGCTCTTCCAAGTACGTGGTGAGTGAGCCCGGCGCGGCTGGGCGGGCACGGTTGGGTACGAGTCCTGCTCTCCCTAAGGCAGGGATCCCACGGGGCTGGCGCTTATTTGTTTCTCTTTCCCCGTGCTGCTCGGATGGTGCCGGCGGCTCAGATGAGCCTCAGGTAACTATCGCTGATGGGTACTGCGGCTGCAGCAGCCCAATCCACTCCCTTCTGTTTGGGCAAACTCCCCCAGCCCCTTTGAGGCCGCACACCCTGCTGTGCTTGTGCCGGGAGCAGCGTGCCCACAGCACTGCCTGACACCTGCCTCCCCCGCAGCTCTACACCATCTACCTGATCCGCTCTGGCCAGTTTGACAAAGCCCCTGCCACCATCGCCCGGCGCTACTCGGACTTTGAGCAGCTGAACCGCCGCCTGCGCTGCCGCTTCAGCTGCGACATGGCCAGCGTTGCCTTCCCCAGGAAGAGACTACGCCGGAACTTCACCGCTGAGACCATTGCCAAGCGGAGCCGAGCCTTCGAACAGTTCCTGTCCCACCTGCACTCCATCGATGAGATCCGCCGCTCTCCTGAGTTCCTCGAGTTCTTCTTCCTGCCGGACCTGCAGGCCGCGCAGCGCCTGACGTGCACGGGCATGTACCGTGAGGCCCTGGCCACCTGGGCCAACGCCTACCGGCTGCAGGACCGCCTGGGGGTCTGCAGCTCTGGCCGCTTCCTGCTGACACTGGCTGGGCTGGCCGTGTGCCACCAGGAGCTGGACCAGCTCAGTGAGGCCCACGGCTGCTGCGAGCAGGCGCTGCAGCTGCTGGAGGCCCAGGGCAGCCACCCGCTCCTGGGACCCTTCCTGCAGGCCCACGTCCACCTGGCCTGGAAGGTGGGCAAGGACAAGCGGCGCTCAGAGGCCCGGCTGCAAGACCTGCGGGAAGCTGGGCTGCCCCTGCAGCAGCAGCCTTCCCTAAAGGAATGCCTGATCAAGGAGCCTCTGGAATGAGCCACCTGTACTCACATGGGCGGGAGGGCAAGGGCTGTGGGGGGCTCACACGCCTGTGGCAGCTGGGAACAGTGAGGGAAGTGCCATGGGTGGCAATGGGGCAGGGGAGCAGCACTGCAGTCCCACGGGCAGCACAGTCTATGCCTGGAGCTGCCTCCTGAATGCACTTTCTCTGTGGTTAGTTTGGCGGGGCTGGGGACTCATGGGGGTCCACCACCCACACTGGTGCTGCCAGAAGCTGCTCCCCCTCTGCAGGGGATCCTGGAGTAGGTGAGACTCTAGCTGGGACATACTGGCACCTTGCAAGGGAACAGGAAAGCTTCTGGCAGGGTCCAGGGCTCTTGCCGGGAACTTCCCATAAAACTTACATAATAGAAAGGACTTTATTTAATAAAGTCTTGGCAGGAAGAAGAGCAAGGCGCCTGCTGTGTCTGTTTAGCCTTACTACCCCAGGGCATCATCAGTGGGAGGCCTCAAGCCTCCACATAGAGGTGGGAGCTGCCTCATCCCCTTCTCCCAGCTGGGCCCAAGCCCAGTCCTAGGGAGGAGCCCAAGGACAAGCAGAAGCAGCTACTGAGGAGCCAAAGCAGTACAAGCAGTGCAGAAGTGAGAAGAGGAAACAACGTATGCCAAAGTAGCACCTTCCCCTCCTGTGACCCCGCCTGGCATGGGGACAGAGCTGATCCACTGTGCTCCTGGCACTGCCCGCCCTCGTGCAAGCCCAGTCACGGGTCCAAGGGGACAAACTCCAGGGACAGAGTCCAGTTCTTCACCCAATGGCTTTATTTTAAGGTGGGTGAAGGATAGCTGATGGCAGCATGTGCTTACATGCTGTGCAGCTAGCAGCTGGTTGCAGTGATGCTCTGTTGGTCACAGTCTGTTGCAGACACCTCTGGCACCAGGACTTCCTGCAATGCTTGGTCCCACCTGGTCTCCTTCCTGTTCCTGTCCAGGTCCTGTCTTGATCTCAGGGTCCCTCCCTGGGCATGCTTGAAGCCCCTGTCTGTAGGGTGTCCTCAGCTAGAGCTTGCTCTGGGTTGGTGTCTGTTCCACCCTGATGACACCTTCCTGTGCACAGGTGACAGCCAGGACCCCATCCCTGCGCCACAGCCGTCCCTGCACCAAGCCCCGGCACCCACCTGCAGAGAGAGACTGTCAGACTGCAGCCCACTGCCCCCAGGACAGGCAGGGCTGGCCTTGCCCATCAAGGTCTCCCAAAAACCCACGAAGGACTTACCAGCCCAAGGGCTCTCACACTCGTACAGCATCCAGTGGTCAGCTCGGAAGGGCGCGTGGAACCACATGGAATGGTCAAGGGACACCATGAACTTGACGCGGTACTGCCGGTGCGGGAGCAGGGCCGTGCCCAGGAAGGCATAGTCAGAGATGTAGGCAGCCACACAGCAGTGCACCTTCATGTCAGTCTCCCCTGCAGAGCAACCAGTGCTGCCCATCCCATGGGGGCCCGTGGGACATGCCTGGGGTGCTCCACTCCCCTGGAGCCAGCTGCCAAGCACAGCTGGGATTCTTCCAGACTTATTCCCTTTGCCATGCCATGCCCCAGCATGGCTCACGGCATCACCTCTGCACTCACACCTATATTACAGCCTTGAAGTGCTCAGGCTGGGGCACAGGCAGCCCCCTAATCACAGCCCTCCCAGCCCACTCTGTTGAAACAGTGCTCCCCCTTAGCTTGGGGGGCACCTGGACCCAGCAGGACCCACCTATGTAGCCTCGTGCTCGCACCCAGAAGAGCTGCTTCGGCTCCTGTGGCTCTGAGCTGAATATATCTGGGGGGTTCACAGGTTTAATGTCAATCGGCACATCTTGAGCTTGGATCTTGGTGAGACGCTTCCTGTATCCCTCAGCCACGTTAGGATTCCTGCAGCCCAGCACAAAGAAGCGAGATTAACACCAGACAGGCAGGTTGGAACACATCCTACTGGCAGCAGCTCCATGCCAGGGACCCAGGGGCACACAGAAAGACAAGAGGGGCACAGCTCCTGTTGTGTCCTGCTCCTCTGTTCCCCTCACAGGCACATTTGAGAATTCCTCAGACAATACTTTCCCACACCTCCCTATGCCGCAGGCAGCAAGGGGGCATCCCCGGCGTGTCCCTTCCACCCTACTCACTGCAGGAACTTCTGGATGAGCTCCTCCTGTGTCAGCAGCTCCTCGGGGGGTGGCACGGTCGGCATGCTGTACTGGTGCTGCACTGGGCTCCCCTGCGAGAGCTGGAAGGAGGCCTGGCAGATGAAGATGGGCTTTCCATGCTGGATGGCCTTTACAGAGCGAACAGAGAAACTCTTCCCTGTGCGGGTCCGCTCCACCTCGTACAGCACCGGCACCTTGGGGTCCCCTGGGACGGGAAAGGGACGGGAAAGGGACGTTCTGCCGCTGGGCCACGACGCACCGCGCACCGGCGGAACCCGCCCGCAGGGGCCGGGCCCGGCAGTGCCACTCACACCGTCCTTGTTTGCTGGCACCGGGATGACAGCGCCTCCTCACTCCTGCGAACTTCCCCAGCGTCTCAACCCCTGCCGGGCCCCTCCGGAACCCCTGCACCCCGCCGCCGGTTCCCCGGTTTCCCGGGCGCACCTGTCCGCACGAAGTAGCAGTGCAGCGAGTGCACCTGCTCGTCGCGGCTCACGGCGTGGGCCGCCGCCACCAGCGCCTGCCCCACGATCTGCCCGCCGAAGAGGTGCTGCGTGGCGGGCACCCAGTGGTGCTGGCCCCTGCGGGGAGAAGGCGGCCGCGATGAGGGTGTCGGCGGAGGAGGCGGCGGCCCGGTCCCGCTGCCCTGGCGTCCACCCGCACCTGAAGAGGTCGACCTCCAGCCGCTCCAGGTTCAGCACGCTGGTGATCAGGACGCTGCGCAGGTCCCCGGGAGGCGGCGGCGGCCCGGATCCCGGCCCTGCTCCAGCCCCGCCGGCGTCGCCTGGGGCCCCCATCACCTCCGCGAACCGGGACCGACACCGCGACCCGACCAGCACGGCGGACCAGGAAGCACCGCCCATCCGCGGGGCGAAGGCCGCCATGTGATTAGGCGGTAGAGCTGTCAGTCACCCTTGTCTTGTCAGGATGCTCTGGGCTGGTTGGCTCGCTTCCTGTCAATCGGGAGAAGCTGGCGCTGATTGGTCGAGATCAGGGTGCGGGCGGTGCCCGGGTGGTTTAACGGGGATGGCGGGGTGGGCTTCGGCAGCTGAGCGGAGCCGGTCCGGGCGTCCCCCCGCGACCACCGCTCGCCATGCGCCCGTTTCCTCGCCTGCGAGGGCTGCCCCTACGGCCTGCGGAGCTGCGGCCCGGTGCGCAGCCACAACCGGCAGCACGGCACCGTTGTCCGCCAGGACGTCAGGTAAGGCCCGCCTGCCGCGTCCGGCTGGAGCTCGCAGCAGCCCCCGTGGTAGGGCCGTGCGCCCGCCGTCCCCCGGTGTAGCACCGCCAGGCCCCGTGGAGCCGCCGCTTGGGCCCAGCCCAGCGCTGCCCCGGGCACACGCCCTGTCCCTTACCTGGCTTTGATAACCGGGCTGATCCCGGTAGTGGGATGCCCCGGTACCGGGGTGCCGCCAGCTGTGCCACACGCCTGCTGTGTTCGCTGTATAGCTCCTGCCTTTTCCGGCTCAAGACTGCAAGCGTCGGCATCTGCAGCATTCTCCAGCTGTCCTTACCTCACTGCAGTGGAAAGGTGATATCAGGTTTCCCTCAGGGAGCGCTTCATTTCATGGCCTTCACTTCTCCAAGCAGCTATAGTGACACTGTTTCCTTTCCATCTTAGCTGGTGGATCTGCTTGTGTGCACAAAGGCTACAAGGTCACTCACTAGTTATGCAACTGCTCCCTTTGCCCTTTTAAAATATAACTTGCCTTCTTAAAATACAATTTAACCTCCTTCCTTGAAGCTTTTCTTGTCGTGTTGTAGCTTGCTCCTCCAGAGCTGCAGAACCGTGTGCTTTAGGGATAAAGACACAATGAGCTTCCTCAGCAATGTGATGAAGTACTTCTTCAAGCAGTTACCGAGACTCTTCACCTATACCGGGCGCCAGACAAGGGAGGACAAGTCCTCTACGCCTTCCTTGTGGGGAGCAAGGAGTGAGGGTGAAAAGCAATGCACTTGTTGCTGAAGAGAGACGTGAGCGAGAGCGCAGTCGCTGCGCCTCCAGCCGCTGCACAGCGATGTGGAGGGAGGAGGGGGAGGCAGCCAGGCAGGAGCCGGTGCCCGCACGCCGCCCTGGGGAGCGGCCACAGCGAGCGGCGTTCCCGGTGTTCCCGGTGCGATGCACGGCGGCCACAGCGAGCGGCGTTCCCGGTGTTCCCGGTGCGATGCACGGCGGCCGCGGCGGGCGGCGCCCGAGCGCTCCGGTGCCGGCGCGGCCGGAGGAGGCGTTGGCGGAGCGCGGCAGAGACCGGGACACGCCGCGGTGTCCCCGCCGGTAGCGGCAGCGCGGAGCGGGCCCGCACTGACGGCCCCAGCCGCGCTGGCCCGCGCCTGCCCGGTGCAGCTCCCGGTGCTCCCTCTCCGCCAGCGGCTGTGCCCCGAGCACCGCACCGAGTGGCCGGCCGTGGTCGCCGCCGGGAAAGCCGTGGGTGCAGGCACTGAGAGCCACCGGCAGGAGCTGCTCGCCGTCCTGAGAGACCTCATCACGCCGGACTGGCTGCCTCAGCTCCACCTTCAGTGGCTGCTCGAGGATGGGATCTGGGCAGCTGAGGGAGAGCAGAGGCTTCTTCATGGAGCTGGAGATTGTCATCCAGGGTTAAGTCAAATTTGCAGTGCTGGGCTCTCTCTGGAGAGCTGCATCGCCACCTTTCCTGGCACTACAAGAGTGTGTTTCTAAGATCTCTCCTGATGCCGTGACACTCTGCTCCCCATCCTGATCACTGTGCTGCTCAGGCAGCTCCCCAAAGTCTGCCTATTTCAGACTTGCCTCTTTGGTGTGCCGTGGTAACACACCCCAGAGCTCTGGCCAGGCTTCCCTCACTGTGGCAGCAGCTCAGCAGAAGCAGCAGCCTGTCAGCCTCTCTTGTGGCTGTTGAGAGTTGTGTGTTTGTTCTCCAGAGCCCACCAGCTCCCTGAGGCCCTTCAGTGTCAGCCTGAAACACCTCATGCTCTTCTCCAGAGTGAGCCAGCAAGCTCAGCTCCTGTTAGATTCTGTCTCCTGTGACAGAACTGGAGGCCACAGAAACCTCAGAGGATGCCAGTGAAGATTAGATTACCCAGAGGACTGAAGACAGCATCAGGCAGTCTTTGAGTGGCATTTGCACAGAGGCTGCTGCCAGGCTGTGCCTAAGGCAGTGGTTTGGAAGTCCAGGCAGCTGATTTGCACCAGGTAGGACAGGCTCAGTCTACAGATCCAGGAGAATGCCCACCCTGTGGGCATCTTCCAGGAAGGCCCAAGTAGCTACACTTGCCACTTCAACCTGGCCTTCCAGCTGCCCTGCTGGCACATCTTGGCTGTGCTGAATTTGAACAGGAAGCTCTTGCAGAGGGAAATGCTCAGTAGACCATGGGAGAGGGGATGTGATGCCCATCAGGCTGGGTGAGACAGTGCTGATGGCCCCTTGTGGGTCCTAAAGAGCTCCTGGAACAAGTCTTTGGATAAATCCCTGGTGGTTGTCTTTCCTCACAGCAGAGATCAGCCACAGCAATAAGGACTTGGAGCACAGGACTCTGTGGGAGCTGGCTGACAGCTGGATCAGCTCCATTGAGGTGAAGCTCCAGCACTGAGTGGGAGCTGAGCTGGGTGCTTCCACTGTGTCCTGTCTTGCACCTTCATTCCCCTCAGCCTGTCATTTTCTCGGCGTGGAGGGGGCAGTTTGGGACCTTGATCTGCTGAGTGAGCGACACCTCTTGCACAGGGCAGCAGAGGAACTGGACTGGGAGCTCCTGATCCTGCAGGAGGGGTCACAGTCACTGACCTGGCTAACAGCTGTGGCCAGGAGCCAGCTCTGGGTGGTGCAATGTGGGAGGTGCTGCTATCCTAGAATCTGCTGAGTTGGAAGGGACCCATTGGGATTGTGTCCAACTCCCAGTCCTGTGCTGGACACCACAAAAATCCCACCATGTGCCTGAGAGTGTTGTCCAGACACTTCCTGAACTCAGACAGGCTTGATGCCATGACCACTGCCCATGGGAGCCTGTTCCACTGCTCAGCCACCCTTTAGGTGAAAAGCCTTTTTCTGATATTCTGCCTCAGCTTTATACCATTTCCTCTTTCTGATATTCTGCCTCAGCTTTATACCATTTCCTCAAGTTCTGTCACTGGTCATGACAGTAAAGAGATCAGTGCCTGCCCCTCTGCTTCCTCTCATGAGGATGCTGAAGACCACAATGAGGTCTTCCCTCAGTTTCTTCTTCTCCAGGCTGAGCAGACCAAGTTACCTCAACTGTTTCTCAAAAGCTTCACCTCCAGTCCCATCACCATCCTCATGGCATCTTTTGAATGATGTTCTCTAATAGGTCAATGTCTTTTTTATATTGTTGTGCCAAAACTGTCCCCAGGACTTGAGGTGAGGCTGCACCAGTGCAGAGCAGGGTAGGACAATCCCCTCCCTTGCTGGCCATGCTGTGTCTGATGCCCCCAGGACAGGATTGGCCTTTCTGGCTGCCAGGGCACTGCTGATCATATTCAACTTGCCATGGACCAGGTCCCTTTCCACAGTGCTAGTCTCCAGCTTCTTTTCCCCTGTCTGCATATACCACCAGGATTTCCCTGTACAAGGTGCAGTGTGTCACTTGCTCTTGTTAAACTTCATACTTTTAGCAATAACCCATCTCTCCAATTTGTCTAGGTGTCTCAGCAGGGCCTCTCTGCCTTCAACGGAGTTGACAGCTCCTCCCAGTTTAGAGCTGTCAGCACTAAACATTAATATATTACTTCATATTCCTTCAAGTCCTGAGTCCAAGTCGCTAATGAAGATGTTACAATTGGGCCAAGGGTGAAGCCCTATGGAACCCCTCTAGTGGCTGGACACCAGCCTGATGTCACCCCATTCCCTCTAAGTCTTTGTTTGTGCCCAACCTGTGAGCCAGTTGCTCACCCATTGTGTAACAGGATTATTCAGCTGCAAGTTGGACACTTTGTCCAAAAGAATACTGGGACAGACAGTATCAAAAGCTTTGCTGAAGCCCAAAAACATTACAGCTACTGGCTTTCCTGAGTCAGTTAGGTGGGTTACCGTGTTGTAGAAGGAAATCATGTTCAACAAGCGGGACTTTCCCCTCATGAAGCCATGCTGGCTGTGACCAGTGACTGTGCCCTCCTACAGGTGTTTTTCAGTACCTGCCAGAATGATCTTTTCCATGATTTTACTGGGCACTGAAGTGAGACTGACAGGCCTGTAGTTTCCAGGGTTCTCCTTCCTGCCCTCTGAAATTGGGACATCATTCCCCAGCTTCCAGTCATGTGGGAACCTCTCCAGATTCCCAAAACTGCTCCAAAATCATCGAGAGTCTTTGTGATGACATCAGCCAGTTCTTTGTGGTTTCTCAATCCCATAAGGGCCCCTAGATTTGTAGGGATCTAGGTACAATAACACGTGACAAAACTATTTCATCTGTGGCCAGCACCCGCAGGTCCTTGCAGCATCCAGCTGTGAGGTGTTGTGCAACTGAGCCAATAAATCACCCTCGTGTTGTTTGGGAGCTGAGCCTGTCCCTGTGCCAGCTGCAGCCACCCCTCCCTGCCCAGGGAACGGGGCATGGGGCAGGACTTTGGGCAGTGCTCCTCAGTCGTCCTTTCTCACCACGGAGCCTCAGGTGGCAGGAGGTGGCAGCTCCTGAATCCCTGCAATCCCACTGTGCTGCAGCCCATTACAGAGCAGGGGTGTTGTTTGCCTGGTTGCAGCAGCTGCTCTCAATTCCTCAAGAAACAGGAACCCGCCCTCGTGTGCAGGGGTCACTGCCGGGCAGATAACGCTGCAGGGAGGTGGGGAGCAAAGGCTTCGTGCAAGGGTGGGGGAGGGAAAACAGCCTGGAGAGCAAACTCCCTCCTCTGTGGGCGCTGCTCTAGAGTGGGTGAGTTCCCCAGCCCCATCGCAGCCAGATGAGCTCCAGCCCCAGCAGCTCCCAGCCTGCTGTTGGGACATAGCAGGAAATGTCACAGACCTCACTCCATTGCTGTGGTTTGGTCACTGTCCATGTTTTCCCATGGAATTTAGCAATTCCTTCATTAACACTTTGGTGTTGATGGAGTTGGCTGTGGTTGAGGGCTGGGGATTTCCTTTGAGCACGAGTCTTGTAACATGATCTGATACTATCGAGTCTCTGACTAAATATAGCATCGTGTTTCTTTAAAACACGTTTTTGTCAGCTTAGAGCTGCTTGTTTCCCCTTTGGTTGTGCTGTGGAAGAGGCCTGAAAGGCTTTGCCAGCCCCTTTGCTATCTTTCTGCCTCCTGTGGGAACCCCTCTGATTTTAGGAGACCTCTCCCCTCCAGGCTCTTCCTCTGCACAGCTGCCACCCTGCCTCCCCTCCAGCCTGCCACAGGCACTGCAGGATGCCATCCTCACCTGCCAGGGCTTGAAGGGTCTGGCTGAGGGCACAGAGCTGAGGGCATGGAGCTCCAAGTCAGGATGGCTGTGCCCCACACCAGGTCACTGTGACTGGCTCTGTGGCCACAGACATGTGCCCAAGCAAGGGCTGCTGCCAGCACTGCTATCTGGGTGCTCCAGCATCTGACTCGTCCCCCTCCAAGCTGAACACACAGGAAATAACTCATCGTTCTCTGGGTAAACATCTTTCCCAAGAGTGAAACTGCCTGGCCGGGATGAGTGTCCGGCTGTAATTTACCTCCACGTGAGCACTGTGCTGTGCCCTCCCACACTCTACCCGCTCTGATCCACCCTGACAGTCCCAGAATAATTCCAGGGACATGTCCTGAACCCCACAGGGCTGTGGCCTGTGCTCCCTTCCTCACTGGTGGAGGAACTGCTCCCACAAGGGGAAAAGCACAGGGGTGTCCCAGCCCCCCAAGCCTCCTTTGACAGAGTCTTGTCTGGAAGCACTTTATTGCTGTCTCTGACCCACATCAATCCCCCTGCCCATGCTCTGGGCATGCCACACCATCAGTGTGGGAAAATCCAAACCCCACTTTGCTCTGCTCTCATGTCAGCCCTTCAGCAGCACATGCTGGGGTGAGTGGGCAGGGACGGGCTCAGAGCCTGCCAGGCAGCCATCACTGGGGGGCTGCTGATGTGGGGGGCAGCCCAGCAGCACCCTCAATACCTCACTCATGTTGGCAGGAGCTCTTGAGTAGCGGGGGCAAGTCCAGGCCATCGATGGCCAGGCGGTGCACAATGTGTTTCTGGATAACCAGCCGGCACAGCGTCTGCAGGGAAGGAACTGCAAGAGAACAGAGAGTGTACCTGAGCTGGGCAAGTCAGCAGTGAGGCTGAGCACAGTGGGTGGAGGAGTTGGCAGAGCTTCTCAGAGGCACTGTGGTTAAAGGCAGTGGTGGGTGAGTTTGTTCTGTGGCATCGTCCTGCCCTGGGCTCAAACTGGCTGTGCGGGGGCTGGTGCCAGGCTGCTCCAGCAGGGCTGGAAGCTCAAGGGCCCCGGGCAGCAAAGCTCTTCCCGTTATTAGGAGGAAGGCAGAGAGACAGTTATGTGCCCAAGCTGTGTGTGACTGTGGCTGGTTTGCATTTCTTTCTCTGGTGGCTGTCAAGCAGCTCCCCAGGGTCTCACATACCCATGCTGGGCTTCTTTTCCATCCCACTCCCTTGGTCTGCCTGCACTGGCCCCAGCACCAAGGTGCTGAGTGAGTGCAGGCTGGGGCTGCACTGCCTGCAGAGACAGCGCCCACCACACCTTTGGGGCAGACTACCATGAGAACCGTCCCCTTGGGCACCTGCACAGAATCTGCCTGGTTCCTGCTCCTGTGATACGACTTCCCAGAGCCATGGGTGGCTCAGCATGGGTACTGTCTGCTGCAGCCATTACTGTCCTCAGCTGTTACACCAGGGAGAATACCAGGTTCCAGCCTCGGGACAGAAGCAGCTGCTTGTGACACCAGCATGTGAAGCAGTGGCTCCCAGTGCTGGGGGCAGGCAGGACTCTGGCTCTAGCTCTTCTTCTGGCTCTGTCTCACCTGATCCATCTCCTCATTTTTCCAGCGTGATGCTAATTAGCACTTATTAGCGTGGTCCCTCCCAGCAAGCCAAGGGACATGGGCTAATGCCCAGGTTCCAATGGCATCACAGGGTGTCTGCCCAGGGAACATCATGTCTGGGGCACGTGGCAGGTGCGTGGGCGCCGGGTGCTGAGCCCTGGTGGGTGTAGGTGGATGTTTTGATGCCAGGGCAGGATCTTAGCTGGCTCTGGCTGCCACGTGCTGTAGGCAAGGCTGGGCACAGCAAGGCCTCACAGCTGAGGGACAGCCCCAAACACCCAACCCTACCACTCTGCTCAGGAAGGGTGGCCAGGGGGGCTCTGTCTGACCGCTGCTGCTGCTGGGGGTCTCTCCCCTGGCCCCAGCACAGCGTCCATGGCAGAGCTTTCATCAGACACTGCCCAGCAGTGATACTGTGGATCTCACCTGTGCTCCACAAGGACCAGAGGCTTTCCTGTGCCCTCTTACCCCCTGTGTCCCTCTGCCCAGGGGCACATGCCAACCTTCCCTCTGTTGGCGACTACGGCATGACCCCACCAGAGCTCCCCCGCTCGTGGCCCACGCAGCACGGAGGGGCACAGGTACCTACAGCCATAATCCACCGGGATCACCCGGACAC